ATAAGGAAGATAGAGATGGGACTTTCCTGAAAGAAGGTCTCTTGTTTAAACTCTTCATCGTTCTCTTCGCTTGCAACGCCTTCAAAGCCGGCTCTGCACTCTCCTTAAGCTTCAAGACTATGAAGAAGAGAAACCGGTAACACACAAGGATCAACACGATCGCTGCTAAGTCCCACCATTTAGAATGTGTGACTGTCACTCCAAATATCTTCTTTATCACTTCCTCTCCTGTCATCTTGGGCTCTCCCGCGAACATTGGCTCAAACTCTAGACCAAGAAAATCGTTCTTGTATGCTCCCTGTAGTAATACAAAAGAAGTAAACACATGTACCAACATGTTAACTGTGATTCTAGACTTGTTATATACTTTTTAGGTTTAATATGCATCTTGGACCGTATTCGAACTTTTTTTCTCCATCATTTAAGCTTTCATGAGTTTAGTATCAAAACTAAATGACAATGAGCATAGTGAGATTCATAATACTTGGAAGCTAAAACCCTTCAACAATTGTATTGAGTGTTTCTTGCGGAAAAAGCAAAACAAGTACCTGAATTGCCCAAGAACCATAGCTCATGTAGGAAATCGGGTAGCGCCAGAAAATCTTTGGAAGATCAGGAAGCAGACGAAAGAATCCAGAAGTCATCATGATGATTCCCTGTCAAAAGAAACAAAACAGAATCAAGAACACCGTTGAGACTCCATAAAACAGAGGATCTTGAAGTAGAGGTAAAGTGTTTTTTGCTTACAATGATGCCAGCTCCGGTGATGAGACCCATCAAGAAATTTGGAACAAGAGAAGCAACAACCATCATGAGACTCTCAATGACTGAGACAGAGAAGAACAAGTTGAGACAAAAGAAGGCCCAATGAGAGAACCCTGGACGGAACTTGACCATGTTGTAAGTAATGCTCCCGGTGATGACGGAAATCGCAACCAAGAACGGGAAAGAAGAGACGTAATTCGATATGATATAAACCGAGACGCCGTAGTAACCACTCAGCCTCTCTTTGTAGAACACTTTCATCTCTTCAATGAAAGAAGGAAACCCTCCAATGGACATGAAAGTCATGAAACCGGTGATGAATCCACCGCAAGAAACCCTAGCCAAGATCGATGTGTAACTGTGTCCAACGTCGTAAAAGATCGTCCCCACACAGATAGATACCACAATGTAGATCACAATTCTTGACCAGTAGTATCCAATATCTCGGCTCATGTTCACAAACGATCTCTTTGTCAATGTCCTTAGCTGCTTAAACCAGGTCGCTTCGCTTCCCTTTCTCACTTCCATCTGATGATGCCCTTCCTGTAACAGAGAAACATTCAATACACACTTGTCTGGATTCTTGAATGAATGAGACAGAGAAGAGTTTGCTTACAATGCTAGCTAATTCACGGATCCGAGACTTTGCAGCTTTGGCGTAGATTGAACGACGGTAATTCTCAACAAGCCTAGCTTTGATCTCAGATGTTGCTAGATTCATCAAAGGATCTGATGTCACTGGTGTCTCCTGCAATAAAGATGAAGTCTTGCTTCAAAAGACTCTACATTTTTCTCAGTGTTAGGTTTAAAGATTTGAATTTCTCACTCGCATCCTCTGAGATCCTTTGAGTGTAGCTGTGACGGTATCAAAATCAGAGTTTATACATCTTAGGAAATGATCAGAAGGATTACGTTTCTTCGGGCAAGGAAAACCAGCTTCAGCAAAGAACTGCATCAACAACAACAAAACGTTAGGTTTAGCGATCAGACAACCGCAAGAAATCGCGTTTCTTGGGAAGCAAGAAACCAAGATCTCGTTTTTTTTACCTCAACAGCAAACTTGGTTTCACCGAAGTACACAGCTTCACCACTAGATAGCAAGAAAAGATCATCAAAGAGAGCGAAGACTTCGCTGCTAGGCTGATGAATCGACGAAACAACGGTTCGACCGCCATCTCTAGCGATGTTCCTAAGCGCTTGAATCACAAAGAAAGCAGAAGCACTGTCCAAACCGCTTGTTGGTTCGTCAAGAAACAGAATCTGCGGTCGCGTTAGGATCTCTAACGCAACGCTGACGCGTTTCCTCTCGCCGCCACTCACTCCTCTAGACTGCCAGTTACCTATGACTCTGTCTGCACAGTCTTGAAGACCAAGCTCTATGATTGTGCCTTCAACGATGTCGTTGACTTCTTCTTTGGTCAAATCACTTGAAAGTCTTAAATGAGCTGAGTATGTTATTGTCTCCCTAACCGTTAGTGTTCCCATCAAAATGTCCTCTTGTGTTACGTAAGCCTATTCATCATTTTGAAGTAAAATTCTTGAATCAAGAAGAAGAAAAAAAAGAAAAAACTTCGAATTAAATTTTGATTGATTAGTTAATTATACTTACGACGAGGCCGTAGTCTAATCTTGCCTTCTTTCCGTTCAATAGAAGATTACCGGTCATAATCACGTTTCTTGCGAGTCTACCTATATATATGGCATAATTCGGAAACAATTTAATGAAAATTCAATTCAAGATCGGATTTGTTTATTTATCTATTATACAAAAGGTTACTAATTAGGCCTTCGAATTATTTGTGAGTGTGATTTACAACCTAGAGTTAGCTAAGTACAATGTTTAAAGATTTTAAAAAGATTCATAAATACATAAATAACGAAAACTAAATCAGTAAAAGTGTAAAGTGTTAATTGCACATAAATATTGTTAATTTTTATTTTTATTTATTTATCAATCACTATTACCAAAAAAGAGTACGAACCTGCGAGAGAATCAAGAAGCGTGGACTTTCCGGATCCGGAAGGACCCATAATGGCCATGATCCGACCCGGTTCAGCATACCCGTTAAGTCCATCGAGCAACCTTCGAGTCGGACCACCACTAAAATTTGGTATAACCACCGTCAAGTCTTCCCAAGCCAAGTACGCTCCACGGCCAATCTCCTGTGACGGCGGCGGAGGAGGAGGACGAGAAGGCCGGCCGTTGCTCGTACTCTCTAACTCCATTTGGTCTTTGATCTTCAACAAGAACAAAGCTTCCTTAGAGAGAGAGGTTTTTTTTTTTTTTTTTCTGTTCTTGTTCTTGTTCTAGTTATTTATTTTTTATTGGTTGGAGAGTGAATTATAAAGATAGAGATTAATTTTTGTAGGTCTAAGATTTTCTTAGTTGATAGCAACAATCAACAAACAACTAATCACATTTAATGGGTGGCTTTAATAAGATAACCATATATATGCACGTATATAATATAGTGTTTCTTCGCTCATTAAATGTGAAGAAAACGAGAGTTGTGAAGGAGGTGGTCTAATATTATACTCCACAATCGTCCTTGTGTAGTAACCATCCACATATTTGACATATACGTATGAATATAAATTGAATAAAGATACATTTTTGTATGTCGGTTCTTGACAATTAATGTTGCCTAACAAGAAATTCCGACACGAGAGCAAATGATTTTGAGCTGTAAAATGATATCTAATCGAATGATTAATTACGATGAGATGTTTCCATTTCAGAAGAACTACAAATAGTCAGAGCAATTAAAGAAATCATAGTTGGATGGGAGAATGATTGACACTTTGATATAATAAGGGAGAAATAAAATGTTTCATAAAATCTGTAAAATTATGATAATTATAGGTTATACATTTAAACTAGTACAGTCTCTCAGTTTTTGTAACTGTGAGCTATAATAGAAGAGTGAAGATATTTTGATCATTAATTAGAAAGGGCTAGATTAGACTAATTCCTACATTATTAATTGCTAGGTACTTTGAAAAGTCATATCTGGTTGAAAATTTTAGTCTATAAAACCGATACAAAACCTATAACTATAAGTAATAATGTACTAAGTTGATAAAATGAAAATGAGATTTGTACTTATAGAAAAGGGTGAGAAGCTCACTCATCACAGGTTGTAAATGATAAGGGAAAGGAATTAAATGCGCGGTAGTTGGCGACCGATATAGTTATCTTGTGTTATGGTTCTTTATTTCTTTTGGTCTGTCCATTTATTATTTTCGTGATTTATGGTTATCTTTAGCTTCGTGTCTAGCTTGCTCTAACGATATTTTTAAGCATTTAACACAAACATAAATTGTAGATCTATTACTTACTAATCATATCTAAGTTTCTTGGTTTCTTTCTTCAGATGAAAAAAAAACTGATACTAAACAAAGTACGTAGCTAGATTTAACAAAGTTTTGGTACATATAGAGGGTACGATTGGAGTTTTAAATACAAAAAGCGAAATCAAGATTTCCAGAAAAGAGATAGAAACCCAGATTCTAAATTCAAACTGAATCTAAGGTATGGTCTAAGGAAAAAAACAAACAATACTTTATTTTTTTTTTGTTCGATTAATGTAAAAGTAGAACTTACCTAACTGTTCCAACGGTATGCAAAAAAATTGAAACCGAGTACAAAATAAAATTCAGCTATTGATTACTTTTTCTTGATAAATTCAGCTTTATCATGCATTGCATCGTGTGAGTAGCACCATGAACAAAATTATCAAATTTTGATAACTTTTTCCGATAGTGTTAACATGTTTAAATACTGGTTAACAGGAATAGCTAAAAAAAAAAAAAGGAATAGCCATCTCCTAATAATGTTCTCAATTAATAGAGCAGCATAGACGAATTTTTAGTAGAATCATCTTGTCGATCTTATCATATTTCACATGTGTATATCAAGATCTGGTTTGACTTTCTTTAGTGAAGATAGGTCTTTTGATTTTTGATCTTTCTTTCACGCACATGAAACAACAAAGATAATAGTAATAAAGATCAAAGCATCTTCTTCCTCAACCATTGTTCTTGTTCTCTCCAACCAGAAGCATTAAAAACAGATCTCATGGCAAAATGCATAAAGATTAAACAAAAACAGCCACACCTACATAATTCAGAAAAACGTCAAACACTCGAAGACTTATATCAGTACCATACAGATAGAGAGAGAGAATCCCAAATACTGAGAGAAGTGAGACAACTCTCGAAACCAAATCATACAATCAGTATCGTCTTCTCGGGCTTCGTGAACGTTGCGACCTCCCAGACCTGCAAAGACCCAGAAGAAGCCAATGATCAATGGACGATGAACCTTATTCACAAGGATAAAGATAGAGGACAGTTTGGTTAAGTGCATAAATGTATCAACACTCGGCTTCATTGCCAAAACAGCAAACAAATTCTACTAATTGGTGACAATATGCAATAGAGAGGACAGTTTGGTACAAACCTCAGGCTCTTTCTCCTGTAAGGATTAACAGTTGGTCCATTGCTGAAGGCCCAGTCTACGTTGACATTCTTTGTCAGAAGCTCAGCACCATCCATTGCTGTAATAGCACTCTGTGCTTCTTCACTCTTCTCATACTCTACCAAAGCATAGCCCTAAACAAAGAAGACAGAACGAAGTGGGTAAATCCAATACAGCTTCCATAAGTAGATATTCACGAAAACTGAAGAACAAAAATCAACTCTTTTAACTCCCATTCTGAAACACAGCCACACAGCTTATCGTTTAGGCTCTACATTTTTGATAGCCAACGAGATGTTTTCATTAACACATAAGGGTGTGTTGAAAGAAAAGTATCATCTAGGACGAAACAGTATTGCACTCTACAGAATATCACATCTCTAATATTCATCATGACATAAATCTAACCAGCAAAAAAAGTAATCTTTATCATACCAAACCCATCAAGAGCCTACTAGGAACAAAAGGCGAAACTCCATACCTTGACAAAACCAGTACGGCGATCGAGATTCAAATGTAGAGACTTGATCTCCCCAAAATCACCAAAAGCATTCGTTATATCATCCTCTTGTGCCTCCTCATGAACTCCGGTGACCAAAATAATCCATCCCTCAATGGCTGCACATTAACCAATTCAACAGATCAACAACAATACTTCTAAATCTTCATCACCACCATGAATAATACAAGTTCCGTTTAGCGAGAAAGGAGTAAGACATAATTCCAAACAAATTCTAGACCAATCTAATAACCTAAATTTCTAGGTCAAGCTAAATCTCAGTCTTTTGACAAACCCTAGAACAGCTTACCGATACAAATCAATCAACGAAGCAATGAATCAATCATTGAAACTAAAAACAAACAGAAAGAGCTCAAGTTGGGGGAGAGATTGGAGGAAATTTACATCGCTGCGGGCCAGGGCCGCCATCGGAACCGAGTGATTCGAAGTCGCGGGAGGAAAGGCGGCGCTGTCGATCGGAATCTCTCTCCTCGAGAAACCCACGGCCTTTGGTCTTCCTCTGCGCCGAATCGCCATTTGCTCCGGCAATAGCCGACCTCAATCTGGGATGCCCCGCGCGTGGAGAGACATCTCCAGCGTCTTCATCCATAAGGTCATCCTCCTCCGGCTCGAAATCGACTGCTTCAGATTCTATGTTCGCCATAACTTCCGCCGCCGTCACTTCCGATCGATCTCTTCCCGTTCCTATAATAATACTTCACACAGCCACAAACTCTTGGGTTTGTTTCCTCGAGTTTCCTCGATTTAGATATTTCTGCCACTGGTTTATAGGAACTTGTATTGGGCCTTAGTGAACCTATTTTGGGCTTTCTCGTTTTAATTTTGTATCACGCTTGCAATTTTTTACTTAATTCAAATATAAGTTTTAAGTTTTGTCACAACACTAAAGTCTAAAGACTGTCCTAGATTGGAAAACAAAGTACAAATTGCAACTAATTTCTATTGGAATTTTGAACGGAAGTTTTCATAACTATACAGATTCAGCTGTTTCTTACCTATTTTCTTTGCATCAACGTGTTTTTCTTCTTGATCAAGTAACAGTATACTCATGCTATGAAACATAACACAAAACAGGGAATATTTAGAAACTTTCATAGCAAACAAAAATGGTCAAATAACATTCTTATTATGAAATAAAAAAGCTAGCAAAAAACATTTAAAAAATCCAAATGATGATGAAGATCCAACTCGCCAAGTCCAATCCAGTGAATGTATCACACGATAGAAAGTGACGGTGGTGTGCCTTTTTTTTTGTTCGAATTGAATGTTAAGTTAATTCAAAAAAAAAAAAAAAGTCATTGCTAGTTGCTACATGAGAGTGCTACTTTATCTAGAGAGTGGAGCAGAGTAAGAAAGAAACAAATTTAGTTACAAAGATGGTGAAAAAAATGTCTCAGAAGCTTGCGAACCAAGTCTGCATTCCATTGTCAAATCTTGCATCTCCCAAGTTCCGAACAGAGGTAAGTCTATTGCGAGCTTGTTTGTCGATACGTTGCTTCAGGCAAGAGGAAGGCGTGGGTTGCTCCCCATGACGTCGTCCATTTCTTTCCCTCCAAATCCAGAAGATTGTTACTTGAAAGACATGTCTCTTTAGAAACAGAGATGATAACGGCTCTCCATATCTCCACAGAAGATAGGTGAATGAGTACTTGGGCGTAGCATAGGAGAACCATATACCCTGGTTGCGCCACTCGAATGAGAGCACATGTATGCTTTGTAGAGAAGCTGGCTTTAAATTTGTCTCCCTTATGGCAACTAACTTTATTAGCAAGACAAAGAGGTCGTAAGCCTAGTCCACCCTCCTCCTTAGGTTTGCAAACCACAGGAAAGCAGCACAAAATTCTGTCAATCTCACTGATGCAAGCTTTGGGTAACCGATAAGCAGACATCCAAAAGTTTGTAAGGCTTTGGAGTAGTGAGATGCAATGAGCTCAAGTCTCCCTGCAAAGGATAAGCTGTATCGTGCTGTCCAGTTACTGATACATTTCCGTATTTTCTCCATTCTTTTCGTCAACAGTGGGAGCCCCAAGTAGCCAACTGGTAAAGTCCCCGTAACAAAAGGAAGTTGCTCAAGGATTGCATTTTTTGTATCTTCTGCCACTCCTGCCATGTATTTTTTGTAGATTTCTCTAGGCTTATTCTCAAACCTGAAGCACTAGCAAACTCTTCAAATATCTCTAGAATCCCTGAATTCTGACAATACGGATGGTAACCAATCTTTCTTTATCGAGAGAACATTCATGCATATGACAAATAGGTAAGGAGATAAGGAACAGCCCTGTCTTGTTCCTCTTTCTCTGGATTGTGTTGAGCAAAAATGGCCATTGAACCGAGTCAAATGCTTTGGAGATATCTATTTTCACTGCACATCTTGGTGAAACTGTTTCTTTGTGATACTTGTTAACCAACTCAGATGCAAGGAGAACATTTTCCATCAACAAGCAACAAGTTTTGACATTGCAGCAAGAGATAGGACGGTAATCTTTCATCTCCTTTGCCTCTGTTTTCTTAGGGATAAGAGCTAAGATGGTTGAGTTAATCCCCTTATGACACGATTGTATAGCAACCACCAAGTCTTTCCCAACAATTGTCCAAGCAGACTTGAAATACTCACAAGTAAACCCACCAGGACCAGGAGACTTATTGCTTGGCATTAATTGCAAACAACACGTCTTTAATCTCAAGATTAAATAACACTTTGCTTCTTATGCACGCTATATTTATGTTTGTGTTGAAGTTATATTTTCTTACTGATCATTCAAGTGTTGGAAAGTAGCTAACATAAAAAAAAAGGATACAATTTGGGGTTTAAGAAGAGCCAAAAAGGTGTCAAAATGGAGAAAAGTAGGCCATGATCAACAAGACAAAGACGAAGGTAATTTTTATGAATGGAATTTAATTTTGCTTCTCTCTCTCTCAAAAAGATTTGGGTGACATTCGGTAATTGTTCACTGATTTAAAATATTTTAGAATTATGTAGATCAATCAGGCCTTTTAACAAACAAACAAGTTAAAAATGTAGAGTAATATTTTATTTGACCAACACTAGGTCTGAGAAAAAAAAACTATTTAAGAGTTTGTATTTGCAAACATAGTGCTTAATTGCTTACGAGGTTTTGTCATGGGAAATTGCAATAGATGTACACAAATAGTTCTGAAATTAAATGGTTATTTCTGACAACTTTTATGTGCATTGTTCATATGGTTGAAGACACTAAAATCCCTACTAAACTCACAACAATCTTGTTAACAATTAGTACTAAATCTCTCTCACATATATTATATCCCTTTGCTAATAAATTTTTAGTTACTTTGCTAACAAAACATGTCACTTCGCTAACAAATACCATGTTCTTTGCTAACAAACATCACATTATCTTGTTAACAAAGACTATGTTACCTTGTTAACACAGATTATGACAAATTGTTTACATTTTGTTGTTAAATAATTTGTTAGCAAGTAATAATTTGAACGTTAGCCTGTAATGGTTTGAATGTTAGCGTGTAATGATTCAAATGTTAACATGATTTTACTAATTTGGCTAATAAGTAATGTTAGCAAGTAATAGTTTAGATGTTAGCACGTAATGGTTTGAATGTTATATCATTTGTTAGTATTTGTTAACACGAAATCTTACAAGATGTCACTTCTTATATTTTATTCCATAGGGGTAAATATGTATGATTTTTCTATATGTATTTATATTGATCTAATTAACAACTATTCTAGTGACATATTTAATTGTCAGATTATCTATGTATATTGACTAAATTTACCCTTTTGTTATTACTTATTTTTTTTATGAATGAAATTAACAATTTAAGAGTTTGTGTCGAAAATTAACCAAAAAAGCAAAAACATACTGGTTATGATCAGTTTTTGCATTCAACATTTTTTAATAAGTGTTTGCATTCTATTGTACATTGAATACTCCACATTTTAAAAATATCCTCCTTACCAAAAAAAAAAAAAAAAAAAAAATATCCATATCCATATCATATCTATTATATTCTTTTTCAAGATATAAACCCATAAACCCCAAATTTATTATACATTTATACTTGAGATAACATAAAAGAGAAATTGATAAACAATGAAATATGTAAAAACAAAATACGAGCTGTAAGGCAGACCCAACAAACATTTTCACTGACGATTACCTCATCAACTATTACTATGATAATCAATATCAAGTATCAATTGAATCGGAATTATTTTTTACATTCTTTATGGGCAGCTAATGTGCATTCACAAAATATTTCGCCTTTTTCAAAAAAAAAAAAAAAAAAATATCCATATCCATATCATATCTATTATATTCTTTTTCAAGATATAAACCCATAAACCCCAAATTTATTATACATTTATACTTGAGATAACATAAAAGAGAAATTGATAAACAATGAAATATGTAAAAACAAAATACGAGCTGTAAGGCAGACCCAACAAACATTTTCACTGACGATTACCTCATCAACTATTACTATGATAATCAATATCAAGTATCAATTGAATCGGAATTATTTTTTACATTCTTTATGGGCAGCTAATGTGCATTCACAAAATATTTCGCCTTTTTCAGTACCTATACATTTTCCGAAGTCGTAAGAGACTTTACGTTGGCAAAAGTCTAAGCACCGTTCGTCTTGAGACCTATAAATACCACCCCTCGTATTAGTAGAGTCTCGTAGTATACATGATTTCATTGGAGGTTTCCAGGATTTCTTCGTTTCCGGTTTTGGTTTCACTGAAATAATAATAATAATAGATGGTAAAATTTTGATAAATAAAAAGTTTAATATGGTAATTGTTGTGCATTATTTGAGAAGTCAATAATAATAGTGTCTAAACACTTAGTTAATTGAAGTGATAAAAAGTCTCACTTGCCATATAGTTTTGTCTAGTATCTTGAATCGCTCAAGTATAAGTATAGAAACATATTTTTCATTGGGTAAGAAAGAAGGAAAGAAGATAGAAAAAACACCAAGAAAAAGATTGAAATGATGACGACGTGGAGAGGCCATATTGTTACAGTTGGCTATCAACTCTTCTAGTAGCGCTTTTGATCAGTCCGACCATTGGCAACGAGAGGCTCTCCCTCTCCTACCCAAACGAAACTATTCTCTCCCCAAACCAGTTTTTCGAAATGGGATTATTCAGAGGCCGATCAAGTTTCGTAATAGAGAGCGATCGTTGGTATCTTGGGATTTGGTTAAAAAAGTTCCCGGAGACAGTCATATGGGTGGCTAACCGAGAGAGCCCTCTCTCAAATCCCAGGGCCTCCCTCCAAATTTCCAAATCGGATATCCTACTCCTCAACGAATCAGGCGGCCAACTTTGGAAGACGCACAAAGCAAGGCAGTATCGGTTCTCCACAGAAGCACTGGTTATGGAGCTGCGTGATACCGGGAATTTTATCCTAAGGTGCTCTACAAACCACAGCGATCCAGATGGGATTTTGTGGCAGAGTTTTGATGAGCCGACGGATCGGATACTCTTCTCCCCGGTATGAAACTCGGCAAATTGTATTTCCAAGACAGAATCTTAACTTCATGGGCTGGCGTAAAGGACCCTACGATCGGATATTACACGTACGAAATAGATACAGAAACAGAAATTGTGGACCATCTTTTGCAAAGTTACGTATATGAGGATTACAAGCACATAAAAGCCCGTATGGAACCGAGGTATACAAGCATATACACAACAACCTACAATAGTAGTGAAGAAATCACCTACAGTCTGAGAGTGGGGATTAACGCCAGCTACTTCGCGGCGTTGAAGTTGTCGTACGATGGTGTATTAAGGTGGTTGATCTGGACTCCGGGAGCTGGAGGAGTGAAGGCCCAATGGGAGTTACCTGGCTGTCCATGTGACAAATACGAGGCATGTGGACCCAACTCTTATTATTTCATGAATCCACTACAAACTTGCAAGTGTTTACCAGGGTTTCGCCAGCAAAGAGAGACGCCAAACGCTCCCCATGGGTGCGTGAGGGAATCACGGCTGAGCTGCGGCATCGATGATGGGTTTCACCGCCTCAGGAACATGAAACTTCCACAACTTTATCTTTACGAGACTATACTCAACATGACACTTGGTTCCGAGGAATGTGAGGAGAGGTGCCTTAGCTATTGCAACTGCACGGCGTTTGCCAATGCTGAGATGCCTAATGGTGCTGGCTCAGGTTGTTTGATGTGGACTGGAGATTTGATTGATCTTCGCACTTACACCAACGACCACCAGGGTCAAGATCTACATGTCAAGGTCTCGGCTGCTCATATTCGTGAGTTTTCTCTACCTTTCTCTTATCCCATTTTTACTATCGAGCTTAGGCCTTAGTGTATAGTACTATGAACTCGGATAAACCGATTTTTATTTCCTTTTTCTTAATATACTTTACTTATTAATATACTACAAACCCTAAGTAAACCATAAAACATTTATGTGAGAACAAAACTGTATCATGGTCTTTGAGCTGATACGTTTCTTTTTCCTACCCCCCGCATTGGCCCATTCCATCTTATTTCACTACAAGAAAGACAGAGTTTGACGTCGGTTATATATGGGTTATATATGGGGTTCACGTCGGTTATAACGTCGATAGCCTACGTCAGTTTTTCATTGCTTTAGCGTCATCTAACAAATGACTCCAAAACTTTAATTTTACTGTGCGCTACTTTTAAAACCGACGCAATTTTTAAAAGCCTTACCGTCACTAATACAGCTTTTATGTCATTTTTTCTTACATTCAATACAATTGTAATTTAAAACATTAGATGACAATAGACTCATTGTAAAATAAATATTTGTTCCATCCAAGTTTTCCAACTCTGAACGATTCCTTAAAAGCATATCCCAGCTGCAAAAACATGTATAGTAGCGCCATAATCACTAACCAAAAGGTAAAATGAAACTAAAATATTTCAACGAAAACAGAATCTTTGATTCTTCGCTATAACCTAGTCAAACTTAGCTAGCCAAGCAAATTATCTTTCAGTCACACTCACACGCCATAAATAACATTAACACCGATTTCTCCCTAATCAACCTAAAATTCTTAACAAAGACTTGAATTCTAACCTTTATACCTTCTCTTTATGCTCTGAACTTTCTGAGGTATTCTCATCTTTTGCAGTCACCTATAAAAGATACATTTTGTGTCGTCAACATAGTAGCCAGAATGAGTAACCAAAAAGTAAAATGGCAGCAAGACAATGGTCATATGAGATAATTTTATCGCAGAAATATCATATCAAAACAAATTAAGTCTCAGATTTTTTACAAGAGAAGAGAACTTACCAGTGGAACCGTAGGCAAACACTGTAGCGTTGAGTCCATGGACAACCCCAGAGATCACAGAAGATATACATTCTGAAAGCCAAAGCATGCTTTAGATTCATAGCTCTAAATCCAATATCCAAAAGCTTAAACCACAAGTCAAATATCACACATGTCCAGTCACTAAGAAAGTCATATACACACTAGGAACCTAAACAAATCCAGAACAAAATCTCAACATGATATACAAAAACCATAGGTCCTATGAATCATAGACTTCCAGAGAGACGGACCTTGTTCGTGCTCTTAGGGCCAAATCCACTTATAATACTAGTTTTGTTTGCCATTCACCTTAGCACTGGTTAAGCAGATTTTGTTCTGTCTCACGACTCTTGCACCAAAACAAGCAAATTCATCTAGTATTGCATACCTGAAATAAAGTCTACAGCTCTCAAATTTCTTAAATCAACATTATTTCAGAAAGATAAAACAAGATGTTGTTGGATATAGGTGTTGTGGTTTCTTTGCATTACCTTGAGTATCAATGAATGGATTGACCTCTTCCATAATCTTTGTAGCATGAATTGGCATTTGGTAACCTGGTTTCTCTCTCCTGCATTCCAAATAAACAAAATCAGGTAACCAAATAGAGAATCTAGGACAATGCAGAGAGATGTAGTTTAGAAAATGAAAGTGATAGACGAATGCGGTAGGCCTTTAGAAGAAACATATAGTTCTATAAATTACTGTTTAGAGCAGCTAAACTAGACTGCAAATGCTTTTAGTGGTTTGATTTTTTTCATAAAAGAATTCGTTTTCCATCTAGCAAAAAAAAACTTACTTTAGTTATGTCGAAACGACGCAAAATTGCTTTTTCTAATTTCTTTTGTTAACGTCAGTTACTCAAATGACTTACAAAATATGACGTTAAATTGTTTTTGGGGTTTTGTATCTATTCATAGGTGTGTAAACGGAAAAGAATGAACCCCTTACAACTGTTTCTTTCTTTACTACAGGTGAAATGCGTAAAAAGAAGAGAAAGCAGAAGATTATAGTGGGAGTATCCGCTGGAGCCGGTGGCATTCTTCTTATAGTCTTCATAACGCTCTGCTTTTGGAAATTTCGAAAAACCAAGATTGATAGAAAAACTGCTGCCGCGGCTTTAGGTATGATCGATCATCGATATGATACTATAATCTTAATAATTGTTATCTCTGTAATTTTTTTTTTTAACTAATGGAAACAGAACTACAAGCGAGAGATCAAAACACGCGACAGCGCAACACCTGGGAATCTAGAATCGTGCCATTTGATGACATCGCGGCAGCAACGGATAACTTTTCAGCAACCAACATCATCGGAGAGGGTGGCTTCGGCGTCGTCTACAAGGTAAATATCTAAACTGTGAAAAATATAACGTTTGTTTTGGTTTTTTTTTCTTTTTTTTTTCTGATCGACTTACAAGACAATGCCATGTATCGGCGGTGAGTCTCAGGGTACACTACCTGGCGGGCAAGAGATCGCCGTGAAAAGATTGACTAATCAGTCAGAAATGGGAATTCAAGGGTTTGAGAGAGAGGTGATGCACATTAGAGTAGCCCAGCACAAGAATATAGTGAGACTTATAGGTTACTTTTGTGACGACAATGAGAAGATAATTGTATACGAGTTGTTGGAGAACTCTAGCTTGGACAATCATCTTTTCGGTTAGTCAAATGTTTTTTTATTAATTAATTTAATAATTAACTAGGAGAGAACCCGCGCAATGCGCGGGTTTATTAAACCAAATATTTTTAATTTAATTATTCAGAACATTAGATTCGAATATATCATTTGTTTTTTACTCGAATATATTAGATTCTGTAAGTTTTGCATTTTGTTTTTTTTCATATAGTTTTAAAATTTAGTTGTTATTTACGTGAAATCTTATATAGACTCATAGTGAATAGTTTCATATGTTTTTTGTTCTTTTATACAATAATTTATCGACTGGAGTTGAGTTCTTCTAATTTTCCTTATACTAACAATCATTATAGATTGATTATTATCCTACAGACTCATAGATAATAATAATTGCAACCCTTTTTAAAAGGAAATGAAATGAGCTAATTAGCCAGTAAGCCCATTTAAAGCTACCATGGAAACGAAGAGGTCCGATAAATAATCAAGCCTATCAAAACGAACAACATTACACATAATTTTGATTTAGTTTTTTTTTTTTTTTTTTACGAAAACGACGTCGTTTTGGTGTAAGACGAAAAAAAAAAAGATAAAGCGCAAAACGACGTCGTTTTGGTGTAAGACGAAAAAAAAAAGCGCAAAACGACGTCGTTTTGGTGTTAGGCGAAAAAAAAAAAAAAAAAATGCCACGTGTCAAAGACTTGAGAGTGTCCAAGCCTTATTAGTTATGTAGATTTCACAAGAGATGGATTGTAGTTTACATGTGAAATCTTGCTCGCAGAAAAAACCGGCAGCTCTATCCTAAGTTGGAACCAGAGACTCGACATAACCAAAGGAATTGCTCGAGGGCTTTCGTATCTTCACCATGATTCCCGGTTTAGGATCATCCATTTAGATCTTAAACCGAGTAACGTCTTGCTCGGTAGAGATATGATCCCGAAGATCTCGGATTTCGGAATGGCGCAAACACTTGCACAAGATAAAACGGAAGACAATGCCACGACCGTGGGCGGAACTTAGTAAGACACTCTCACCAAATATTTATAAAAAAAAAAAAAAAAAAAAATACTAAATCCGTTTCTGAGTTTAATCATACTCTTACTCTTACATATGCAGCGGATACAAGAGCTTCTCAGTGAAGTCGGATGTCTTCAGCTTTGGGGTCATGGTTCTTGAAATCGTCACAGGTATTAAATGTAAAGAGTACCCTAAGCACCATGATGGAGATAACCTCTTATGCGTCGTAAGCTTTTAAAACCATCTTCAAAAACGACATTAAACAGTAGTAATACAATACACTTTTTTAAATGCTTTTTGTTTTCTTTTTTTGTTTTGTTTTGTTTTGTGTGTGTGAATAGATATGGAACAAGTGGAAGGAAGGAAACGGGATGGAGATGCTAGACCAGGCCATCAAGGATTCACCATCTGGAAATAATCTAAGTGAGCTTGAGGTGATTCGTTGCATTCAGATTGGTTTGCTCTGTGTCCAGCATGACGCAGAGGACAGGCCCACGATGGAGACTGGATCATCCTCCTCGTCGCCCAGAGAGCCTCAAGAGTGTGAATCTTCCTCGATAAATCAGATCACCATTTCGGCTTTTGACGCTCGCTAGTTCTCATATTTTCTGTTTATCAAGTCTAATGAGTAATGATACTATAAATAACGATTAGTCTCTGTTTGCCCTGTATAGTAACTAGGTATAATTATAGTAATAACGTACTTGAAGCTTTATATTTACTCTGTAATATTGAGACAAACCTTTCAAGGACCCAGCTATCACATATCTACAACAACAAACTTACTACTATTTTGCTATATACGTGTACTTAGCTGAGAGGTAACCAGAAGAAATACAGAATTTTGTGATGAGTGAAACAGAGTCGGGAAGAAACGGCTTAAGACATAGAAAATTTTGACTGCTTTTACCGGTTTTCAGAGAGAAGTCGCTTTCTTGGGAGGTGACGTGGCAGTCTCCCAAAATGGATCAATTTCCAGCTAATACAAGTCAAACTTACAATTTTTTTTTTTTTTTTTTAAGTTATTTTACCACAAGTCTCTCCTGGTATATAACACTAAAACAAGTTGTTTTCTTTCTCATCAATCGCCAACACAAAGCTAGTATTTGTCCGAGATCTTAATTAAGTGAGAGACCACACAAAAAAGGATTAACTTAAAAACTCACAGAACCATAGGACTCTCAACATAATCAAAATAGACGTGGCGAGAAACATGCTGATCTCCGACTCCTTCAACCAGAACCTTTTTGGCATTGTTTTCCTTGAGATCGTAACTGATAAAATAGAACGAGTTACTGCAACTGCTCTAGTGCTCTGTGAAAACACAAGCTCTCCGGTACTAAGTGTACCCCTGAATCTGAACTCAACAGAATCTATCCAAGAAGGAACCAAGACAGAAACTTCCGACCATTCTTGTCTCTTGGCATCTTCTAGAACCAACAGATCAAGTTTGCCAATAGAATGGTTCCTTCTTAGAGCTATCTTTCCGGTGTAGTTCACTAGACATGCGCTATCCTCTGGTAACTTGATGACACTAAACTCTTCAGATGTCAGATCAAAGCTTATCAAAGATCCTTTGTTTTTGATCCAAGCATAATAATACAAACCCCCATTAATGCATAGCCCTCCTTTAGAATAACAAGGATGAGTTAGATGGGGATGCTTACATTCGATCATCCTCCATGAGGTTTGTCCAGCTCCCAAAGTGTAAACTTGATGCTCCTCGGACACAACTTGTGACTCACGTCTCTGACGATGACCTTGTAGTACCGTCATGCACAACACTTTGTATACATGATTTACTGGATCATATCCCAAAAAGGAGTATACACCTCTTCTCCTAGTCTTGACTCTAGGCAAAGTCAAGAACTGGCCCGTGCTAGGGTTTCCGATTATCACGTTAGAGTCATACTTACGGCAGATCAAGCCGTGGACGGGTGGAGAAAAATCATCTATACGAGTCGGATGACGAGATACGTTTACCCTAAGACGATCAGAAGATGGATCCTCCTGGGAGCAAAGTTGTAAGAACTGCTCATTCAGGTAGTTATGGAAGACTGTGAGAAGAAGATGCGCCCGAGTTGAAGATCGAGCCATGTACAGCATGGTGAAATGTTTGCCTTGGATTATCGTATCGATGACCATTGTTTTGAAACGAAGACGAGCTTGCCTACGGATCTGGTCGGGATTTTTAGGAAAATCTCTATTATCAGATCAAGAGGAATGACTGAAAACGGATCGATTCCTTTTTCATCGTCGGCTCGTCGCTTTCTTTACGTTTCTTTGTAAGACATAGTTGATGATTGTTCCCGATCGTCTCTTTCCTCCTGACCCTTTTCATGACGCTTTTCAGTTCATGTATGATACGTTCCCTTTCTTTCCGTTTTACTCTAGGCCCTGGTTAATATCTTTGCTGACCAAAAATAAATAAAAAAATTGTGTAACAAATCAACCTAACAACCCTCACTTTTCACGGCTAGACTAGGTGAAAAACACATGATGGTTTAATATATTGAATAAGTTGGAATTAGGAAATTAATAATACGGAAAGAGTGGAATTGCTGTATGGTTACTAGTTAGAGAGGAAAGTTTCTATTACCTGTTTCGCTAAGATGTTTTGTGTAATGTATGTGTCATAGCATGAGTCTACTGTTACTTGATCTAGAAAAGTAAAAAACACAATGATGCAAAGAAGTTTTTGTGGAGCCGAAATAGTAAGAAACAGCTGAATCATGTCTACTCATGAAAGTTCCGTTCAAAATTCAATAGAAATTAGTTACAATATGAATTTTCCAATGTACGACAGTCTTCACTTTTTTTGTTCGACACCCCAAATAAATAAATAAAAGTTTAGAGCCGGTACTTTGAGAAATGAACATACATAATGCAACTTCTCTGCATTAATGTGTTTTGCTTCTTCGTCAAGTAACAGTAGACTAATTGACCTATTCACAGAAGTTGATATGGTTTAGCTTCTTCCTTTTTCACACACACACACATACATAATCAACATTGTCCGTCAAACAAAGTTTAAAAGGCAACCAAAACGATGATGAAGAATTAAGATCCAAATATAAAAAGACAAAACCCAAAATTTTAGCTCCACACAAAACCAAATTTTTTAATTAAGTCATGTTGCATATATAATCCACAAGCATACACAAAGCCATAATTGATGACTAGCCAGTAATAAGGAAAGAGTCATAAACTACTACAATCCAAGAACTGAAATGAAACATGAGCAACAAAAGAGAAAGCTCAGGCTTCATGGACGGATTAACATACCTTTCACAGAAACATATAACTCTCTACATGATCGAAAAAGAGTTGAACTTGGATAGCAGCAGACTCATCATCTCCAATTCCTTGAACAAAAACTTTTCTAACATTTTTTTCCTTGGGATCGTAACAAAGAAAAAAGAAAGGGTTAGGTGATGGGATCGGTGAGAATATGATCTCTCCAGTACCAAGTATACCCTTGAACATGAATTGATCATTCTCCCTAAATATATCTCGGCAAGAAGGAACCACTTTAGCAGATTTTGACCATACTTGTTTCTTGACATCTTCAAGCACCCATAGGTCAATTGGTCCACCATATGCCATACTCGCTATAGTTATCTTTCCACTATGATTCACCATATGACCAAACTGTTCAAGATGATAATCCTCCGGTAGCTTCGTAACATTAAACTCTTCAGAGCTCAGATCAAAGCTCATCAGAGAACGTTTTTGTTTGTAAGAAGCTAGATAATACACAACACCATCCCTGCATATCCCTACCGATCCAGAATCATGACGATGTAGATACTTACATTCGATCATTCTCCATTTCTGTTTAGCTCCTACAGTGATAACTTGATGCTCTTCCGACATATCCTCCCACAGATAATCATCCCAAAGCATGTCTCGTGATATAATATGAGGGTTTCCACGTTTGGTTTTCAGCGTCATGCACAGCACTTTGTAAACATTATTAACCGGATCATATCCAAAGGCAGAGAAGATGTCTTTCTTCCTCGTTTTGATTCTTGGTAACAAAACGAACTGACCCGTGCTAGGGTTTCCGATAATCATTTTGATACCATTTCGCCCGCAGATCAAGCCGCGGATGGGTGGAGAAAATGAATACCGTAGATCCGGATCCATAGTGTAACTAACATTATCATGATGATCGGAATCAGACGGATCATCCAGAGAGCAGGAGTGGAAGAAGTGCGTCTGCTGCTTGTCGCTGCCACGGTGGACTGAGAAAAGAAGACGGCGCGGCTGAGATGAAGATCGAGCCGTGTACAACTCGGTGAAGTCTTTGCCGCCGATTATCGATGACATGTGTTTAGAAGCGAGACGGAGCCTGGCTATGGATCTTGGCGGCGATCTCATGAGAATCTCTAGTTTCAGTTCTAGAGGAATGGTCGAGAACGGGTCGTTTGCAACGTTTGCGGCTCCATTGTTTTCGTCTCGTTTCTTAGACCTCTTGTTCACCCTTTTCATGGCGACTTTTTCAACTTCCCCTCACTGTTTCGTTCTTTTGACTCTTAACCCTAAATGTCTTTTCTCTTTCTTATAAACCTCCGTAATACTACTTTTCAACTTCCCACGCCGGCGTTACCAATTCACTTTATGCGTTAATATTTTAGGTATTTGTAAATAAGTCCTCCTATTTTGAAATTTTAACAGAATTATATTATTTTGTTTATTTTGTTAAGTTTCGTCACAATTTCATCTGCATCTTTATATTTTATGTTTTATATAGCATCTCAAATGGGTTGTGGTTTAGCCACCAATGCAACGAAGAAGGCTAAAGAAGATAAGTGGAAAGCAGAAGTCACTGAAAGGCTTTGCATCAATATCTCTTGCTTCTTGATCAAGAAACAGTAGACTTGTGTATTCATACAAGTTGATATGCAATAGCTTCTTCCTTAATTTTCTCCCCCAGGAAAAAGTCCATAATCATGTTTAAGCTATTGCATATCACTAAGGGCCACATTCCATTAATTGAACAAGTTTTTTTATTACTTGTGTTTTTGGTATGGTACATTATTCTTAGGAGTTAGGACATTAACAAAATTTGTCTAATAAAATCATTCCATCTAAAAAACGTAAGTAATGAAAAACAAAAGCGTTGCCAAAAAAATAAAATAAAAGCCAAAAAGCTACTTTATCCAAGAAAAGGGGAGCCGAATAGCGTTGAATAGTTGATGCCTACTACTCGCACACTCGCAATTAATCAATCTTTTTAAAAAATTTGTTAATTAATTCATCAAAAAAATCAGGCAAAAATAAATGATTTTTTGTTTCACTCTAATCCCGCTCTTTGCGAACTTCAAAAATTCATAAACTCGATAACAATTCAAAACCCTAAAAAGATAGTAGAACAATAAAACAAATAAATTTGTTTAATTTTCTTTAATATTGCGGCTAAATGCTTTTTATAAAGATAAAAATCACAAAATCATAACAAATTTTCCGAAAGAAATATACATTTGACATTTAACAGAAACCTAAAAAGCAAACCCAATTACTCACACACACACAATTCTCAGAGACATAAAAAAAAAAAAAAAGCCTTTTGCTTTTCCCTTCCTTCGTCTTCCTCACCATCCTCTCTGTGAAAAAAAAAATCCAAACTTTTCCGGCCATGGATCCCGACGACCCAACTTCCGTTATCTTCACAAAGATCAGAACTTTAGAACCAGACAACGCTTCCAAAATCATTGGCTATTTTCTGTTGCAAGACATGGAACAGAGCGATTTGATTCGAATTGCTTTTGGCCCTGACACTCTCATACAGACTTTCTGTCGAAAAGCTAAATCCGATTTGGGTCTCTCCTCCAACGGTTTCTCTTCAAACCCTATTTCGAGACCCATCAATATCCGTCGTCAGCCATTTTCTCAGTCATCTCCAAGGAATGGGTTTTATGAGTTCGCGAGAAACCCTAACCCTCTGTCTTCTTCCTTCACTTCGGGAACTCTCAGCAGTAACCCTAACTTCGATTCTAGCCCATTTCGTGACGGTTCGTCGCTTTTCGCCTCTTCTTCCGGAGATTTCGCCGACGAGCAACAACAACAACTGAGTAACCACTTCTCGCTCCTCAACAACGAGGATCCATTCGCTAATTTTCACAAGCGGAGTTACTCTGCTAACGATGCTTTTCTCGAATCAGACGAGCAGTGGCTTGGTGGAGCCGGTTATCGGTTTCCACAGGGCGGTTTAGTTGATGATTTCAGTTCCTCTAGTGGTTTTGTGTCGCCGAGTGAGATGGATTACGTCTTTTTACAGAGAGAAGAGATGATGATGATGAAATTAGCTCGGCAACAGAGAATTGCTGCTGCTCAATTCCTCCTCCAAAGGCGGAATTTGCAAAGGTATGTTTGGGAATTTTGGACTCTCTTTGTTTGTTTGCTGTTTGGTTAGTAAAAGACTGAAACTTCACACAGAAAGTGTTGCATTTGGGAACTCATTTGTAGCTAGAAGTTTTGAGCTCTGTTGCTTGGTTTGGTTTTGCATATTAAAAGACTGAAACTTTACACACAAAAATGTAACATTTGGGATTACATATGGGATCAAAGAAGTTTTGAGCTCTGTTGCTTTGGTTTGGTTTTGCTTATTGTGATTGGTTTGTTTCGTTGCAGACAAGGATCAGGACAGTTTGGAGAAGAAGGTGGCTATTATTATAGTCAAAGCAGGCATGAAAGAGATGAATCTGTCTCTAGACAGATTTACTTGACATTTCCATCTGAGAGCACCTTCACCGATGCAGACGTGTCCCATTATTTCAGGTAATGTGAGGATACTGTATATGATGTGAGAGGAGAGAATTTGGGCTATGGATGTTTCTTTTTTGTTTAGTCAGTGATGGTTTTCTTCTTGAATGAATGTAGCAATTTTGGAACTGTGGAAGATGTGAGGATTCCATATCAGCAGCAACGGATGTATGGGTTTGTTACTTTCGCTAATGCTGAATCTGTGAGAATCATATTGGCTCGAGGCAACCCTCATTTCATCTGTGACTCGCGTGTGCTCGTTAAACCATACAAGGAGAAAGGAAAAATCCTTCAAAGGTAATGTACCAATGCTTGATGATCTCTGTTCTTTACTTTTCCTTTCCCTTACTTATTATTGTTTGGCGAATCAATAGCAAGAGGCAACATCAGCAACTGCAACAGCTGATAGAGAGAGGGGACTATTCTCCTTCTTTAAGTCCTTCTGCAATGGACTCAAGGGAACTATATGACTGTCGCTTGGGTTAGTTTCGATATAGTTAAAGAAACTGTTTCTTACTGAGGTAGTTAGTAACTCTTCATTTGTCTTTTCGTTACCAGGACCAAGGATGTTTTCAAGCCACACACAGGAGATGCTGAGAAGAAAAGCTGAGCAGCAGGCTGATTTACAACAAGCTATAATCGAAGTAGAACTCCAGAGAAGAAGGTTCTTGAATCTGCAGTTGCCTGACATGGAGAGTGATGAGTCTATTCACCATCACCAGCGTAGTCTTTCTATTGGCTCCCCTCCTCATTTCCCGCCTCGGTTCAATCATAGTCTGCTCTTTCAATCAGAAAACAATGCTGAAGAAATCACGGAAGGTTGTTGCTGTTGGCCTCTACATTTAAGCTTTCTTTTTTTTTTGGCCCTTTATTGATGATCGATCCCTTCTTCTTGAGTCTTGACAGGTGATAGGGATACAAGTGAGAAACATCTTCAGCTAGGAGCAAACAGTAGCGAAGAATGTGGTTACAGTAACGATTTTTACAAAAGGTAAGCGAGTGATAGAATCAAGGCTTTAAGTCTTCTTGTTACAGAATAGGCTCTACTTTAGTTCTTACTTGCGGTTAATTTATCATTTCTGAAGGCAAGAGACGAGTCTGGAGAATAGTCTTCCTGAGAGCTTGTTTGGTTCCCCCAAAAAGTCTGACGAAGCCCGCCAAACCGAGTCTGATACCGAGCAAAGTAAGGAAGCCGCACCAGATCAATCAGCCTAGCAATGGTACCTTCAAAATCTCTCCCTAAATCTGACTATAATTTCATGGTACTAAATAAAACATTCATATTCTCTTTACACAAACTTTTTCAGGTTTCAGTGTAGGCAGAAAGACACAAGTGTATGTGTGAAAGGTTAGCAATTTCTGCCATGAAACACACCTGAAACTTCTTTTTTAAAAACGCTACCTTTTTGCTAACACTCCATTTCGTTTCTTTTGTTTGTTTGTTTGTTACATCTTTGCTTTGCAGAAAGGTAAAGACTGATAACAGAAGGAAGTAGAAGATTGTCTGTATAAAGAAAAGCTTAGAGGTACTAACATGGAAACACAGAATAGAAGGTTGAGAAGATGAGTTTTAGGATTACATGTCAATCTACAAATAGGATTTTACGCACTAACTTTGACAACACATGGATACTCAGATCAACAACAGTAACTGAAACTCACATAGTAGGTTCCCTTTTGTTTACGTTTGGTAATTTCTTATTACCTTCTTTTAATATCTCGTTTTGAACAACAGCTACATCTGTTACATACCAATTACCATGACTGTAAATTCATGTTTTTTTACTTGAGATTCTTTGAAGACAAAAGTGTCGGAAAAGTTTGAAACTTTGGAAAAGGTGGACACTTTAACAGAGCTGATATTTTACCATACGTCCTTACTGTATGTTAGAATTGGAATCTTCAACCTCCTGAAGTTCAATATTAAAATGATTGTACCACTGAACAAAACTGTACTGAATCAGAGTTGAATCTGACCGATCCTAAGAAAATTCGGTTACCAAAGCGAATTATCCAAATGCTAATTCTCTTCTGTTCGTTCTTGATCAAATCGATTTTGCAGATATGATTTGTAGAATCCATTTCTTATAGGTTTAGTCCCAAAACTTCTTAGTTCTAGTTGGCTCACAAACTGACAAAAAATGAGAATCTAAAAAGAACTTTAAAATTTAAATGTTGGCTCACTATTTATGAGTAAAATTTGTTTGTTTAGTTTCTTTCAAGTTTACCATATAAAGAAACTGTTTCACCTACTCATTCACACTCCACTACCTGCAACCTTTGACATATCTTCTCTGCTGTCAAAATTCAAACATTGATAAACAAAAAAAAGATCAAAACTTTAAAATCTTCTTCGTCTCAAAGGTAAACAGAGGAAAAAAAGCTTTTCCTGTGTTTCATCATCTTCTCCAGATGGATTCGATTGTAGAAAAACAGAAAGATCCTTGCTTGATGAAAACCCATTTCCTAAAACCCTATGTAACTTCCATTGATGGTCCTGTAGCCGAGCTTCCTCGTCACCATCACTCTGTTTCTTCATCAGATCTAGAAGACTTGTTTTCTAGGATCTCCTTCACTGGGTTTTGGTTTGCAGATGGTAATTTCAGATCATGGGCTAAAAAGATGGAAGCTTTACACGAACCCACTTGGAGAAAAGCTGGGATTTTTGAGGCAATCAAGACCTCCACATACAAAATCGTTGAAGACCAGTCTCTGATTTCAGCTCTTGTTGAGAAATGGTGTCCTGAGACGAAATCATTCGTCTTCCCTTGGGGTGAAGCAACCATAACGTTAGAGGATGTAATGGTGATTCTAGGGTTTTCCGTTTTGGGTTCTCCAGTTTTTGCTCCTTTGGAAAGCTCAGAGACGAGAGACTCTGTAGAGAAACTGGAGAAAGCAAGGGTAGAGATCCTAGAGTCTCTCTAACTTCTTATTTTCTTTTCATTCTTTAGATATACAATTTTTTTCTCATCAACCATTGGTGACTTTTTAAGATCTGATTATTTCTTCTGGGGTTATTAAAGAGGAAGATCAATATTCAAAAAAAAAAAAAAAAAAGATGGGTTTGGATTATTACACCATATTGAAAGTGGACAAGAGCGCAACGGAGGATGATCTCAAGAAATCATACAGGAGATTAGCTATGAAATGGCACCCTGACAAAAACCCTAACTCCAAAACCGAAGCTGAAGCCAAGTTCAAACAGATCTCTGAGGCTTATGAGGCAAGTCATTTTCCATTTTCTTTCATCTTCCAATCTCCGTCCCCCATGATCCCATAGATCCCGCAAAATGCAAAACTCTGTGTTCATACATGTCAAGCTGAGATCCATTCCTTTGGATTATAAATTAACCTAATGAATATATGGATGAGTTTCTTGGGATATAAGCAAAATGTAACTCCTCAACCACATTTTCTAAATCATATGAGGCAATGTTTCAGGTTCTGAGTGATCCGCAGAAGAAAGCGGTATATGATCAATACGGTGAAGAAGGTTTGAGCGACATGCCTCCTCCAGGGAGCACGGCGTCTAACAACGGAAGAGCCGGTGGTTTTAACCCGAGAAACGCAGAAGATATATTTGCAGAGTTCTTTGGAAGTAGTCCATTTGGGTTTGGATCAGCCGGTGGTCCCGGAAGGTCAACGAGGTTTCAATCAGACGGAGGAGGAATGTTTGGTGGATTCGGTGGTAACAACGGAAGCGATAACAATATATTCAGAACGTACAGCGACGGGACTGCTCCTAAGAAACCTCCACCGGTTGAGAGTAAATTGCCTTGTACCCTTGAAGAATTGTATTCTGGATCAACTAGGAAAATGAAGATCTCTAGATCCATTGTTGATGCTAACGGGTAAACAAAGTTTTATTATTTTTATTTTTTTTATTTTATAATATCTTTTTCTTGTTTTTAAGTATCATTTGGTGATTTGTGCAGGAGACAGGCGCAAGAGACAGAGATATTGACGATTGTTGTGAAACCAGA